TGTTTTAGTTTGCATTTCTTTAATCAGTAGTGGTTTAGAGCATTTTTTTCCCATGTGACTATAGATAGTTTTGATTTCTTCTTCAGTAAAACTGCCTGTTCACATACTTGGACCATTCATTAACCAGGGAATGGCTCTTATTTTTATACATTTTGCTTAGCTCCTCCTATGTTTAGGAAATAGGGGCTTTATTAGAGAAAATACTGTATTTTTTTCTCAGTTTCTTGTTTTCCTTCTAATTTTAGCTGTTTTGTGTATGCAAAAGTTTTTTTTTAATTTCATGGATTCAAAATGATCTATTTTACTTTGTATAATCCTCTCTATATCTTGTTTGGTCATAAATTCTTCTGTTAAACTTAGGTAAACATCTTACAGGTAAACTATTCCATGCTTCCCTATTTTACTAATGAGATCATACTTTATGTCTAAATCATTTATCCATTTTTATTTAATCTTGGTATATGGTATGAGATATTGGTCTATACCTAGTTTCTGCCAAACCGCTTTCCTATTTTCCCAGCAATTTTTGTCAAATACTGAGTTCTTGCCACAAAAGCTTGAATCTTTGGGTTTATCAAACACTAGATTAATATGGTCATTTACTACTATATAGTATGTACCTAATCTATTCCACCAATCCACCACTCTATTTCTCAGGTACAACCAGATTGTTTTGCTAATTAGCCCTTTGTAATATAGCTTAAAATCTGGAACTGCTAAGCTACCTTCACAAATTTTTTTCATTAAATTACTTGAAATTCTTGATCTTTTGTTCTTCTAGATGAATTTGTTACTATTTTTTTTCTAGCTCTGTAAAATAATTTTTGGTAGTTTGATCAGTATAGCAGTGAAATAAGTAAATTAAGTTAGGTAGAATTGTTATTTTTATTATATTAGCTTGGCTTTCCCGTGAGTGAATAATATTTCTTCAATTGTTTAGATGTTTTTATTTCCATGATGTGTTTTATAATTGTATTCATAAAATCCCTGGGTTTTTCTTGCTAGGTTGACTCCCACATATTTTAGTCTGCCATTATTTTAAATGGAATTACTTTTCTCTAACTCTGCGGGGTTTTGTTGGTAGTATATAGAAATGCTGATGACTTATGTGAGTTTATTTTTATATCTTGCAACTTTGCTGAGGTTGTTAATTCTTTCAACTAATTTTATTAGTTGATTCTGTAGGGTTCTCTAAGTATACCATCATATAGTATGCAGGATGATAGTTTTGTTTCCTTGTTGTCTACTTTTATTCCTTCAGTTTCTTTTTCTTCTCTTATTGCTATAGATAGCATTTCTAGTACATTATTGAATAATAGTGGTGACTTCCTTGGTTCTGATCTTACTAGGAAGGTTTCAAATTGATCCCCGCTACAAATAGTGCTTGCTGATTGTTTTAAATAGATATCACTTATCATTTTAAGAAGATTCATTGATTCCTATGCTTTATAGTATTTTTAATATGAATGAATTTGTCAGAGGTTTTTTCTGTATCCATTGAAATAAGCATATGATTTTTGTTTTTGTTATTGATGTGGTCAGTTATGCTGATAGGGGAATGTTGAAGTGCCTCACTAGTATAATTTTACTGTCAATTTCCTCCAGTAGTTCATTTAACTTTTCCTCTAAGACTTGGATCTTACACCATTTACTGCATGTATATTTAATTTTGATATTACTTCATTGTTTTTGGTTCCCTTTTAGCAATTTGTAGTTTCCCTGTTAATCTCTTTTAATTAGGATTGTTTTTGCTTTTGCTTTGTCTGAGATCATGGCTATCCTTTTTTTTTCCAGCTGACACAGAAGATTCTGCATAAGATGCATAAGATTCTTCTCTAGGCCCTTGCTTTAATTGGTATGTCTCTGTTTGAAGTGCTTTTTTTGTAAATAACATATTGTTGGATTCTGTCCATTTCCATTTTATGGATTAATTCATTCCATTCACAGTTATGATTCCTAATTGTGCATTTCTATCCATCCTGTTTTCTTCTGTTTATCTTTCTCCTTTCATCCTGTTCTTCCTCTAAAGTTGGTTTCTTCTGACTACTGCCTTCTTTTATCTCCCCTCCCTTTAATCACTCTCTTCCTTTTCATTTATCCCCTTCCCCTCTTACTTCCCTATTGGTTAAGATAGATTTCTATTACCAGTTGAGTGTATACATATATACATGTGTCTTTACACATATTCCCTCTTTGAACTAATTTAGATATGAGTGTCAAAACATTGCCAACCCACCCCCACCATTTCCACCCTTCACTGTAAAAGCTATCCCTTGCACACCTTTTATGTGAGATAATTCCCATTTTTCCTCTCCCTTCCTCCTTCTTTGACTATCCCTCTTCCTCGCCTATCCATTTTTTACATCATCCTAACATAATCAGTTTACTCCTGTACATTCTTACCATGCAGAATCCTTTTAAGTGACCTAATAAAGTTCTCAGAAGATACATGTATCATCTTCCCATATAGGAAGGGAAAGAAATTAACCTTATTGAGTCCCTTATGAATTCTTATTTATGTTTACTTTTTTATGCTTCTCTTGTATCTTATATTTGAAAATCAAATTTTCTATTCAGCTCATCTTTTCATCAGCAATGCTTGAAAGTCCTTTATTTTATAAAGTAACAATTGTTTTTCCCTTAGAGGATTATACTCAATTTTTTGCTGGATAGATTATTCTTGGTTATGCTCCCAGCTCTTTTGCCTTCTGAAATATATTCTAAGCCCTGTACTCCCTAAATGTGGTAGCTACAATATCTTGTGCAATCTTGACTGTGACTCTCCAATATTTGAATTATTTCTGGCTACTTGAAGTGAGACCTCTTGAATTTGGCTATAATATTCCTGGGAGCTTTCATTTTGGGATCTTTTGGTGATCAGTGGATTCTTTTTATTTCCATTTCAACCTTAAATTTGAGGATATCAGGGCAGTTGTTCTTGACAATTTATTGAAATATGCCTTTTTCTTTGATCAAGGCTTTCAGGCAATCTAACAATTTTTAAATGATCTCTTCTTGATCTATTTGTAGGTCAATTTTTCTTTCTCCTATATTCGCATGTTCTACTTTAAAAATTCTTTTGACTTTGCTTTATTGTTTCTTGATGTCTCATTGAGTTATTAGCTTCTACTTGCCCAATTTTAATTTTTAAGAAATTAGTTTCTTTGGTGATCTTTTGTACCTCCTGCCTTCACCCTCCCTACCCCAAAATTTGGGCAATTCTGCTTTTTAAGGAGTTAATTTCTTCAGTGAATTTTTGTACCTCCCCCCTATTTGTCCAGTTATTTAAGGTATTTTCTTTTGAACTTTTGTGTGCCTCTTTTACCAAGTTGTTGTCTTTTCATAATTTTCTTTTGTTTTAATTTATCTATTTTTTCCTCTATCACTCTTGTTTGATTTTAAAATATTTTTTAAAGCTCTTTTGGAAATTCTTGTTGGGCTTGCATCCAATTGATATTTTTTTCTTGAGGCTTTGCTTGTAGATGTTTTGACATCATTGTAGTTTGTCTTGATCTTTCCTGTCATTATATTTGCTATGTATTTTCAGGTTCTTTTGTTGTTTCCTCACTTTTCCATCATATTTCTTGAATCAGAACTTTATTTTAAAATTGGGTTCTGTTCCTGTTTGGGAGGGGTTACTGTTTCAAGTTTCAGGCTTTTACACTGTTTTCAGAACTAGTTCTCAAAATTTAAGTTTTTAGTGCTTCCAAGGTGGGTGAGAGCTGTGGTCACTGCTGTCCTGGTCTGCACTCAGGAAGGGTCTCTGATCCCTTGGCATTGAAACTGATATTGTTCCTTGGGGACCCTGTTTCCTTAAGGCCAGAAGGAATAGTGTTCCTCGGGATCCCTGATCCCTTGGAGCTAGAAGTGATACTGTTCCCTAAGGGTTTCATTCCCTCTTGACCAAAAGTGATCCTCCTTGCCCTTGTGCTATAACCTAGATGTGGGTGATAGAGTTGCCAGACAGTTGTCCCTCAGGGTTTCTGCACAATCCTGACTAAAAATGCTCTTCTTCACCCTTGAAATATGATGTTGAAGTTGGGCATAGGCAATGTCGTTGCCAAACAGCATCTGGCCCTACATCCAGTGCTAGCAGAGGTCAGTTGCTAGGTTCACTTACTGTCTCTGTCTTGAGAATTCACAAAGCTATGGCTGTTTCTGTCACCACGTTTAACTAGTCCCACCACAGGTGTTTTATCTACATAGGATATGGGACAACATCCTCTCCCATGTCATAGATCTCTTTTTGACCTATGTTTTCTTGAGCTGGAGAATATCTCACTTTCACCTTTTGTTGGCCCTGCCACTCCACAATTTGATTTCAGGTATTATCTTAAAGTTGTTTGGAGGGGAATATTTGAAACAGCTCAGCTGAGTACTTTATCCTGCCATCTTGGCTCCCAGGAAATGTGTTTTTAATTAAATGACCTAGAGGCAATTACAAAAGATAAAATAAATACCTTTTATTAACTGAAACTGAAAAAACTTCTGCACTGAAAAAGTTAATGTGTCTAGGATAAGAAAGGAAGTAGTCAAATGGGGAAAATAATCTTTGTATCAAATTTCTCTGATAAAAGTTAAGATGGTACACCATGTAATGAAATATTACTATACTGTAAGAAATAAGTCAGATGAATACAGAGAAGCATGGAAAGCTCTATATGAACTGATGCAGACTGAAGTAAGCAGAGCCAAGGAAACAATATACACAGAAACCATAATGTAAATGGAAAGAACTATGCACCAAAAAATCAAAAGTAAATGTTACAAAATTTAAAAGATCAATCAGAATTAAATTGAAGATATATGAGAGGACACCCCAAAAGCACTCTTTTGGAAGGTGGGAGCTCTACAAGTGTTACATGTTTTCATACTGTTTCAATGTATTGATCAGCTGTGATGATTTTTTTTTCCTCTCTAAAAATTATATGAGATGACTCTCTGGGAAGAGGAGAGAGAGGGATACTTGGGGTAACTATGATATTGTAAGAAAGAGAAGATATCAATAAAAACTTTATTTCAAAAACAGTACATATATAGATACATCTTTAATGTTAATTCTTCTATGGAAGTATATACATATATTATTTTCATATACTTGAATTAAAAGTAAAAAGCACATATTTACAGATAGTTTTCCCAATTTGTTATAAAATAGTTCATAAATGATTAGTCTTCCTAGCATGATAGTGACATCTTCTTACTTATTAATTTTACTAAAAAAAGAAATCAATAATGCTTAATCCAGTGAAACATAATTGGCTGGGAAAATGCCAGTTTGACCTCGAAGTCTTCCTTCCCACCAATCAAAATGTGAATTTGTTTTGGATATTACAGTGATGCGGTCTCCAGCTTTGAATTTCAAATCTCCTGGCTGCTGCCCTTCAAAAGAATATAGTGCTGTCACTTCTACCGGCTGGCTTGAACTACCTAAAATGAGGAGAAAAAATGGATATTTTTGTTTTTTGTGAGAACAGGAAAGGGGTAGCTAAACTATCCATTTTGTAGTCACAGTTTAGTGTTCTTCTGCTCTGGTCTCATCAACTAACTGCCTTTGAAGCTTTTTTCTTTAATAGTACTCTTTGGTTTCAGTATCATTCTTCCCAATTATGGTCAAACTTACACTTACTTCTCAGACCATGCAAAAAAGACAATGCATTCCCCAGGGGGAAAAAAAATCACAGGTTTGTGGACAAGGCTTCACTCTTCTGGAGTTCTGGAATTTACCAGTAGTACAAAACAGAATTAACCCTAATCAAAATTCTCTCATTACTTAGAAGGTGGTCTTTGAGAACTGCTATGGATCAAAATTCTACTACCCAAAGCTCCAGTGACTCTCCCTTAAGTCCTTCGCAATATGGCTCAAGATTACCTTTCCAAACTTATTGTGCATTATTTTGCTGCTTGTTGTAATAGAATTTGGATGGGACAATATAAAGGAATTTATTCCCTTACTGAATGTCTTGGGGCTTGTAGTTTCTCCCCTCTGCCCAGCACAAGAAGATACAAAACAAGATAAAAGGACAAGAGGCTTTTGAACAGATTTGCCCTAGGGATTTGCTAAGACGTGACTGGATAGAGGGATGGGTGAATGGATGGATGTATAGATGCCAGAGGCAAATAACAGTGCACCCAGGTTTTAAAATGGCAAAGGTTCTCTTCCACCATATACAGATAAGACAGCAGTAGACAAATTCAATAATTTGTGGATGTTTCCCTGGCTAAGAATCCAAGCATCTAGTGATATGTCCCCTCTTTTACTTTTTCCTCTCTCTCCCTTTCTATTTGAAAGGATGAAGGTTTAAATCCAAAGTTCCTTGTCTCCTAAGCTTTTTTCTTATTGTTCCAATAATATAGCAATCTAATATTTTTCAGGTAAGAGATGAAATCAATCTTCGCGCGTGTGTGTGTTCTTAGTTACATTCGGAGAACACAAACAAAGTGTTTGTCTGTGAGACTACATAGAAATGAATTGGCTCCGAGATAGAAACAGAGAACATTTGGGGACTTGATGAACTATTTCAATTTTATTAATAATCAATATTAAAAGTTTTTTCTTAACATCTCCAAATTAGCAGTGAAAAGAATAACTAGATTTGGCCTATTTACTTTGGACTTAAATGCATCATTGTTCAGAGATCTAGCTGATCATTTGAATGTGGCTGCTTGTGGCTAATCTCCAGTGAAAATAGAAGGTTGTGTCTAGAGAAGATATTCCATTCAAATGCAAACTCCTGAGTGGAGACAAGTATAGTTTGGGATGATTCAAATGTTTATCCATACATTATAAAGTAGCATTTGATTGCTCCTGGAAGTTAAGGAAAGGTATACCAACCCCTAGAACAATCCCAGTTGTTCAGAAGGAATACAGGGCTTAAAGCAGCTTCATTTGCTTGTTGTATATTAGAGAAATCAAGTACCACCTTCACAAGGCACTTTGATTCCTAGCAGAAACCAAGAAAGGGGCAGTAGATAGATTACTGAATTTGAAGTAGAGAAAACCATTGTTATTCTCAGCTCCTCACTCAGTCACAGCACTCCACATATTTAATCAGTTGCAGGGTTTTGTTTTGACCTTTACAATCTTTTATATACGTCTTCTTCATTATACTCACATAACTCATACAAGTCTCCATCATGATTCACCTGGACTACAACAATACTTTTCAGATTGGTCTTTCTGTTTCAATTCTCTTCCTACTATACTCCATCTGTCATTTAGCAGCCAAAGTGATTTTTCTAAAACACAAATTTGAGAATGACCTACCTCCCCCTACTCAAATTCCAGTGGTTTTCTTTATCTCCAGGATTAAATATAAAATCCTGTTAGGCATTTAAAGCCCTTTTTAACTTAGTGTCTTCATACCTTTCCAATTTTTCTTATATTTTACTCTCTTCCATGTATTCTATGATCTAGTGACCCTGACCTTATTTGTGTTCCTTACACATGGCACTTTATTTCCTAATTCTGTCCATTTTCATTGGCTGTCTCCCATGCTTGGAATGCTTTTCCTTCTTACCTCCACCCTTGGTGAAGGTCATGGTGAATTTAGAGCTCAGACAGAGTGTTATAGTGTTTTGGATTCAGAGAACTTGGGCTCAAATCCTGCCTCAGTGACCTTGGGAAAATTATTTAATCTTTTGGGACCTCAGTTTCCTCATTTGTGAAATGACTAGATTAGATTAGATTGACTCTCAGGTTCCTTTCATGTCTTAATCTGTAATCCAATAAGTTAACGACATGTTACTCTTTATTTTAACAGTTACTATGTGAGCTGTATAAAAACTTACTTGTGGTCAGTCCTCCTCCTACCCCATCCCCTACCCCCAATTCATTATGGTGGGGACTTTATGGACATTTTATATTCATTTTAACTTTGCATGTGAACCATTATTTAGACTACTTGGATAGGGTGATGGAAAGTTTAAGAAGTATGCTTTATGAGAAATGATTCAAGGAATAGAATCTACATTAACCTGGAGAATGGAAGGATGATACTAATCATAGAAGAAAGTTGAATGAGAACTGAAGAGATCCTTTGATATATCTCTATCTATCTATCTATCTATCTATCTATCTATCTATCTATCTATCTATCTATCTATCTATCTATCTATCTGTCTGTCTGAAGATAGAGTTCTAGGGATGATAAATTATTGGCTTCTTTAATCTAGCTTCCACTTAAGCAATATGCCCCATTTCATTTTAACCTTCTCAGCTTGTAAAATATTTGAGTGATCCTTTGAACAATTTGCCAATCTTACCATTATATTCAAGGTTAATTAAAAGATCTTATTTTTCTTTGCCTAAGTCATTGCTAGCCTTAATGAGACACAGAGTCAAATTCCAATCAGTATATTCTGATTGGCAAGGCTACCCAGCAGTACAGATTAGTGAGCCTGGGTCCCAAGGTGTATTTTATTTTCATTGACTCCTAGAAGGGAATTTGCTTTCTTAATGGATTCAGCTTAATTTAGCCCATGTGTAAATTTGCACATGCCTTGCTTATGGAGTCATATGTTATATGAAATATTGTAAGAACTTCACCAATCAACATAGTGAGAAGAGTAGAGAATTACTAGCCTAAACTAATATTCTGGTTCACTTTGGCTTAAACTACTTAAAGTTTCCCAGGGAATAAACTCTTGCAGACACCCTTCCTAACACAAATATGCTGTCTGAAATCTCAATCGCTATAATGCAACACTTAGAAAAAGGCCTCATTAAAAATAACAATAATAATAATAAAACATAGTATCATATATTTAGAGCTGGGAATCCTACTTAGAGGTAATCTAGTTCAATTTCCTACTTTTACAAATAAGGAAACCAAGACCTGGACACTTGCCTAAGATCACATAAGTATTAAGTGTCAGGGCTAGGACTTGAATCCTATAATGTAGGATGTACTTGGACCTATTTTTCTGAGGAGTCTATAGGTTTCACCCAACTGCCAAAAGACTCTATGACATAAAACAAGAAAAGAAAAAAAAAGCCTTTAAAACAGTCATTACAAGCCCAGGTGTACTGAATTCTAAACATTACTCCATAACAATTACTAAGTCTATTATTTAGAAGATAACTTACACATAATTCTAATAGCCTTTGACATCCAAATTCTTAAAAACAGAAGACTAGAAGCAATACATCCACCAGAAGTAGATAACAGAAAGAAAACAAAGGTCATGTATAATTTAACCAAAAAGAAAACAAAATGTATCACTTTCTTAGCAAAATTCTTAAAGAAAGGCCAGATTAAAAGAATTGGCTTGTGGGGAAATCATGACAAAACAAGACTTTATGCAACAGAACTCTATGTGGAGTTTGTTTCTGAATATGAAAGATACAAAGAAATATTTTCATTTATGTGTATGTATGTGTTTATGGGTATTTCCATAATGGAATAAATAAAACTCGCTGGTGCTTAAAAACACAATACCAATTCTTTTTTTTTTTTTTTAGCAAATGTTTCACAGAATCACAAAACTTCAGAGTTGGAAGGGTCCTTAGTGGCCATCTAGAGCAGTGGCATCAAACTCAAATAAAAATGGGGACCACTAAACTGAATATAACAATCCTCATGGGCCGTATATGGACTTAGAAAACCACCTATTAAAAAATTACGTATATTTACCACCTATTAACATTTTATTTGTTTTATCATAGTTTTATTTATTTTGTTAAATATTTCACCACTTTGAGTAAGATTGTTTTGTGGGCCATAAGGTGTTTGACACCCCTCATCTAAATCAACCTATATCTACAAAAGAATTTCTACAACAAACTATCTAAAAGTTGTGAGTTTAGCCTTAGCTTGAAGACCAGGAGGAAGAGAATGAAAGATAACCTACTCTACATCTGGATACTGTATTGTTTTTTCTTCCTAAGAAGATCAAGCTGAAATAGATATGCCTCTTTGCCATTTTCACCAATTATTCCCAATTCTGGTCTTTGGGGCTAAACAGAACAAGCCTAAACCCTCTGCCATGTGACAGCCCTTTAAATGCTTAAAGACAAATATCATATGATCCCCTCAAATCTCCTATTCACTAAGCACTGTTTCCTCGGTTCTTTACCCTATCCTCCCTTGTCATCATCCCTTGGCTCCTCACAGTCCTGGTCATTATCTTTGACATCCTTCCCTTTGTCAATGTAATTTCTAAAATACAGTACTCACAACTGAACACAGTACTCCAGTTGTGCTTGAACCAGGGCAGAGTACAAGCAGGATAATTGCTACCCTTGTGTGGGGCAGGACTTAACAGAATACTTGGCACATAGCAGTGAATTAATAAATACTTATTGATAGATTGATTGTTGCAATGCCTCTCAATGTAGTGGAACAAGTTTATTTGATTCTTTTCATTTGCTGGAGTACATTTTAATTTGTAATCAAAATATGCTGTAAATATATCAATCCCATCACTTTCTGGATAGGAAGTCTCTAGAAACCAAAATGTAAAGATCGCTGCAAAAGATAACATACGAATACTGCAAATATCACCTGAGCTCTGTTGGAATAAATAGCACTCAATCTCTGTTCTCTAGTATTGTTGCTTAGGTGTTGCTGGTACAACAGTGTGTGTGTGTGTGTGTGTGTGTGTGTGTGTGTGTGTGTGTGTGTGTGTGTACTTGTGCATACACACACACACACACACACACACACACCTCTTTAGGTTTCCATAGCCAGCTTCATTTTCCCTAAAGAATCCATGTTAGCAGATTAACAAGCTTTTATGTTTCATAAGTTTTCAATACAGGGTAAATACATTTTAAGCTATAGGAAACATGAAGAAAGTCACTCAAATCCATTGTTATCACATGTAACAGGAATAACAATAATAACATAATAATAACTAACATTTATATAGTGCTTACTATATACCCAACAGTGTGCTATATGCTTTACAAATTATAATCTCATTTGATCGTCACAACAACCCTGGGATGAAGCTGCTATTATTCTCATTTTATCAATGAGGAAACAGAGGCAAAGAAAGCTTAAGTGACTTACCTAGGGTCACAGAGATAGTAGGTGACTGAAGCCAGATTTGAATTCAAGTTCTCTTGATTGATTCTAAGCCTAACACTGTATCCACACTGTCACCTAACTCCCTGAATAGCTATACTGGCATTGTTTTAAATGGGAAATTGTTTATTTACCAACAGCATCCTGATAACAGGGAAGTTCGGGATAAAGTTTATGGGCATTACTGCTACCTGTAGAGAAAATAAATGTACAAAGCAGGTTAGTTTACAATATGTACACTGCAGGGAAAGCATTTGGCTACAGACTCAATACGAACAGTATAAATGCAGATCCCCTGACCTTGTTGAAGCAAATGCTTTAAAAGTATAGCAACACTTAGTACAGCATATGTTTCAAACTTCAAGGTTCAACCTGAATCTAGTCCCAGTAATGAGCCACAGAAATGAGGCAGATAACAAATTTTCATGAATTTGGGGAGGGGGCAAACCCGAGAATATAAGAGGATGCCTTATGGACTATTAGGACATGTAATGATCAGAAAATGGTAGTTGGATGCATTGATAAAGTAGTGATGGTATTAAGGACAAAGATGAAAATAAATCACAATAAATGGCACTGAGGGAACAAAACAAGATGTCCATAAAAAGAGATTTAGAGTCAGAGAAGTTAATTTTGATGAAGGGAAGATTAAGGGAGAGAAAGTGAGGGAAAGGAATCACAATTTCGTAGTTAGAAGGAACCTCAGAGGTCATCTAGTCTGATTTATACTTGAATAGAAATACCCTCTATAACATCCCTGAAAAGTAGTCATCTAGACCCGAAAATTCCTGTACAGTGCGTTTGAGAAGTTCTTTCCTAAAAAATATTGGTTCAAGGCAATAGGTTTGCATCTTTTGTGGACATTACCAAGATAAATGAGAAATGCCATATTACCAAGGCTCTAAGTGAAATGATGATTCATCATATGAATGAGAGTAGACACATCTAGCCATATCCATAAATAATATCAGTGGAATGTATATGTGTTAGATATAAATTTCTTTTTTCCCTCAGAAATTCTCCAACATAATCCTAAGAACTGATCAGAGTGTCTCAATTTCTTAGAAGGTTTTTTTTTAAATGAAATTACTTTTGAATTACAACAACCTAATTTACCTTGTGAATCTGAGTTTGGCTGGAGAGATGCAGGTGGTTTTTTTGGCTTGGAGGATAGTCTGAGAGGAATGTCTTTAGCCTGAGAAGGAGAAAAGTACACTGTTATGAAACCTGGATTTGGCTTGAGTATATTAAACCTTTTCATTAAAATAATTGTGCAGAGTGCCTAGAAGAATGAGAAATAATTCATTAGCCACTCTCCCTAGTAGATTTATGGCTCCAGAGCTTTGGAGGAGGAGAAAGTCATGCTTTCCTAATTCTAAAAGCCAGCTTTTACCAAGTACAATTATATCATTGAAATGTATAATTTCAGGCAAACTACTTTCATTTCTGCTTATAGCTCTTTACGTTTTTTCTATTTTAGAATTTTAAAATAATGCAAAATACCATCCTATTCTTTAAATAAATACTGAGATGTGTTTTCCAAGTTTGCCATGTCAAAGGAAAGCACTTTCTAACCATGTCTATCCTTAGATCTTTTATTTTTCCAGAGGAAATGTCATCATGGTACAACATTTTTACAAGGAATTTATGTAAATGATCTTACTAAGGAAAATTTATTCTGCTCTTAAGAATCCCATGCCAAGGGACAGAAACCTCCAGCAAACAGAAACTTCCTATTGGAGTGGATTAAAGCAGTAGAAAAAAGCAAATTTCATACATGCCTTTCTCTGTTCCCTTGCTGCTTTCTTTTCATTAATTCGTTTTTCTTCATGTTCGTATTTTTCAGTAAATGAATCAAGAATTTCATAAAGTTCTTCTGTTTGAGCTGGCGGTGGCATGTTTCCAAATAAAATGTCACTGGCACGAATGTCCTGACAGTAAAACCTAACAAGGAAAATCAGAGAATAAAAGATTTCTTGGACCCCTTAAGATTGTAGCAATGGTCAAAAATCTTTTTTTTGCGCTACTCTGCCTGGGATCCACAATTTCTTTGAAGGTCTCTGAATTGAGGGCAGAGCCAAGATGGCAGAATAAAGGCAGAGACTCACCTGAGCTCTAACCCAAACCCCTCCAAATAATGACTCTAAATAAATTCTTGAGCAGCAGAACCCACAAAAAGTGAAACAATTTTCTAGCCCAAGACAACTTAGGTTGGCAGAAAAGGTCTGATGCACTAGGATGAGAGAGGAGTACAGTTCAGCTCAGGCCAAGCCAGTGTAGACCCAGCCTCAGCAAACCAGGACCAGGCCTTGGGTGATTGAATCAGTTGTAACAGTAACAGTTTCCAGACCTCTCAGCCCACAGACAGCAAAGAATACTGGTCAGAAGAAAATTACAGGGGTCTCTTTGCTGGCACCTGGGCAGGACTCTGTTGCATTGCTTATACTTGGATCTGGGTCACAGTCCTTGGTCCTAGTCCCAGTGAGGAGAAACTCTAGCATACATGTAGCTTGCAGTAGCAGGGGATCAGAGACTTTGATCACAGTTCCAGGGTGGAAAGGGGTGTTTGTGGTCACTCACAAACCAGTGCACAGTACAGGAAAGTAGTAAACACACCTCTCCCTAGATCATACTGCCCTGGAGGAGCCAAACACAGGACTCCATAATTACCTCTGAAAACAGCTGCACAAAAAACCTGAAGCTTGGGACAATGCCCCCTTCCACTTGGGAAGCAGAACCCCACTTAAGCATAGAGTTAAAAGTCAAGAAATGGGCTGGAAAATGAGCAAACAACTGAAAAAAAATTCTGACCGTAGAAAATTACTATGGTGACAAGAAGATCAAAACACATAATCAGAATAATAAAACAAAGTCAAAAATCCTACATCCAAAGCCTGAAAGAAAAATATGGATTGGTATCAGGCCATGGAAGAGCTCAGAGAGGATTTTAAAAATCAAGTAAGAAAGGTAGAGGAAAAATTGGGGAAAAAAGGAGAGTGATGTAAGAAAATCATGAAAAAAGAGTCAATAAACAGCTTGATATAGGAGGCACACAAAAATACTGAAGAAGATAACACCTTAAAAAACAGAATAGTCCAAATGGTGAAAAGAGGCACAAAAATCCAATGAAGAGAAGAATACCTTGAAAAGCAGAATTGGCCAAGTGGAAAAAGATATAAAAAAATTCACTGAAAAGAACTCCTTAAAAAGTAGAAGTATACAAATGAAAAAGGAGGTACAAAAGCTCACTGAAGAAAATAATTCCTTAAAAGTTAGAATTGGGCAAGTGGAAGCTAATGACTTTATGAGACATCAAGAAACAATAAAATCAAAAGAATGAAAAAAATAAAAGAAAAAGAAATACTCTAGATTGGCAATATATTAAAGTATAGAAAACAATTATGATTTCCTCAGATATAAATTTTCCCTACATTCTGATTTTATATATTTTAAGCAAATAAGCCAGTCTTAATTATGCCTTATCTGTACAGAAAACTTTAAATCAATTAAGGATAAGGGACTATTTCATAGAAATCTGTATCCAAACCACTCAATTGTGTCCACAAATAGAAGGTGCTCAATGAATATTTGCTGATTTAACTGAAGAGTTAAACACTTCCATTAGCTACTACAATTTAGGGACAAAAAAGGTTATCCTTTCAGCATATAAAGAAAATAGATTATTGGGAAGAAAAAATTCCTTTAGGTAAGACTTTGACACTTTAAGTAATCAGAAATTTGCAAAATCATCCACTAAATGAGGGCAAGGACATTTTGTTCTTCTTTGCCTTACTTAGAGATATCTTGATTTATTGATGTAGCTTTGTATTTCTAGAGCTATGTCAAATAATGGTGAGAATGGAGAGATTTCCTTTACCCCTTTTCTCAGTCAGAAAACTTCCAGTGTTTCTCTATTAAATAAAATGTGGACCTTTTATTAAAATAAATACTTTTCTAAAAATCATGTTAGTTTTTTATGACTATTTTTAGTACTTTAAGAACATATAAATTACATAATGCATCTCATCAAAGGCTTTCCCTATCTCTAACAATATAATTAGTTAAAAAAATTTTTTGATGATGACTTACTATGATAAAATAGAAGTATTTGTCTAGAACAAATTCAATCTTGCATTCTAAGTAAAAAATATTTCCAATTAGATCATACTTTTTAATTTTGCTGTCTTTTATTTATTTATTTATTTATTTTTTAAATAGTTAATGTAAAGACACAAGCCTGGACCTTTGATTTCATCGATATAGAGAATTTCTGGATGAGAAAACTCCCTTTACAAAAGCAGGCTAGCAGTACCTCTGAAACTTAAGTTCTAGAGAGTTTCCTAGAGCACTCTTAGGTTAAATGATGGCTGTGAATGACCTAGCCATTCTCAGCAACACAACAATCCAAGACAACTCTGAAGGACTTACAGTGAAAAATGCTTACCATCCCCAGAGAAAGAACTGATAGTGTATGAATACAGATTGAAGCATACTTTCTTTTTTACTTTATTTTTCTTGGTTTTTTTTGTGGGGGGCCTATGTTTTCTTTGACAACATGACTATTATGGAAATGTTTTACATGACTACACATGAATAACATATCTAATTGTTTGCAATGGGGGTGGAGGTGGGGAACAAGGAAGGGAGAGAATTTGGAACTCAAAGTTTTGATAGCAAATGTTAAAAATTGTTTTTACATGTAACTGAGGAAAAATAAAATACTAAATAAACTTTGAAATATATATATGTATATATACATATACATGTATATATACATATACATATGTATGTATATATACATATACATATATATACATATACATATATATATACATATATATATATATATATATATATATATATCTGTTTCAGGTATGTTTCTTATTGGGAATATATTTTTGAGTTGCGCTTTTTAATCCATTCTGTAACTGTTCCTCTTTGTTTGGAGTAATTAAATCTATGTACAGCTGTGGTTGTAGTTGTTAAATTTGATCATTCCTCTACTACACTATAAAATGATATAGTATTTTTAATCTCTTATTTGTCATAAATTATATAAAGACTACTTATCAGGCATATTGTAGAGGGATTCTCATTCAGGTATCAGTTCTTTAAAGTGTGTGTGTGTGTGTGTGTGTGTGTGTGTGTGTGTGTGTGTGCATGAGAGAGATCAAGAGAGACAGGGGAGATAGGGACTAGATCTGTGATTTCATTGGTATAGGGGGCCCACAGATAAGGAAAGTTCCTCTACCAATACAAGTCAGAAGTTTCTCTGCAAGAAACAGTCTTAGAGGAATGCCTAAAGCACTTGGCCCAATTCACAAACTTAATTCATGTCAGAGATGGGATTTGAACTCAAGCTTTCCAAAGGTGTCGAAGCTAGCTCTTTTTCCCTATACCAAGTCGCCTCTAATATACATTTATATAGTTATATTTTTGTATAAGAATATGTATGTGTACATAATAATAATAATAATAATAATAATAATAATAATAATGATGATGATGATGGTGATAATTAACATTTGGATAGTACTAACAATTTTTATCTCACTTAACCTTCATAACAACCCCAGGAGGTAGGTATTATTATTATTCTCATTTTGCAGATGAAGAAACTGAGTCAAAGGTTAAATAACTTGCCCATGGCCACACAGTTAGTAAGTGTCTGAGGGTGGATTTGAACTCAGGTCTTCCCGACTCCAAGCCTGGACCTCTATTTACCATGACACCTAGCTGTCTTTATGTATTTATAAATATACACATGTAATACGTACATGTATGTATGATTATGTACATATACGTGTGAGAAGGGGAAATAGATATGCATTCAAACATATTTAAATTTAAAATAAAATCCCACTGGTTTTGATAGAATATAGTGATGAGGCCACACCTTGGCAGAATAGAAGTTTCCCTTGTACTGTAAGTTCTTATTAAGATATTATCAGCTATAAGCAATCTTTTCCACTGCTTTTACAGAATTTTGTAGCTCTTAAATTATCATGCTCTATTTTGTATTATCATTATTATTATTATGTGTATTGGCCCTAGCTCATCTGTGTATGAGTCCCTGTAAATTCCTTGGGATAGGACCTTCTTCATCAAGATCACAGGAATTAGAGATAGAAAGGATGTTAAAGATCTTCTATTCTAATTCCACTATTTTATGGATAAGGAAACTAAAATTTGAAGGTCTGAGTCAAAACTAGGAATTGTCAAGCCTAGGTCAAATTCATCTGAGACATGGGGGTAAATAAGATGGCATAGAGGACTACAGACACTATTATGCCAGAAGAGGGAGTGGCCTGCCCCCTACAATCTGGCTCTTGGTCTTAGTGGTCTAGAGGTGACAGAGAAAGCAAGTGCCAAGAGAGGGGCACAACAGGATTAGGCCCTTGGGGGTGGTACTGGTAGCCTTGGGTTGGGAACCTTAAGAAAAATGTCAGCAAATACAATGTGTGTGTCAACACATGAAGGAAAAATGCATTCCTAGGTCAGAAGTTCAATCACCTTTCCCAAACTCTGGCCCTTCCAGAGAAGTTAAAGCCTTTCCTGAGCCCCTAGCTGTTAGTGCCTTCCCCTCCAAGGTTACCTCATAACTACTTTATATGTGTTCTTCATATACCAATATATATACACCTATATATTTATATAGTGTCTCTCCAATTAATATATAAGCTCTTGGAAGGCAGGGAATTTGGTCCTATCTTGGTATCCGAGTACATCAGTGTCTGGCATAGAGTAGATCCTTTATAAATGGTTGATTGATTGTTTGTTATCTTAGTAAACAGAACACATTCATTGCTGTGGGCCTAAAAATTAGGGGCATTTTGTTTCATGCACAATGGTATGCTACAAAAAGACATTTTATAAAATGTCTATTTGTCTAGGCCTAATAAAATTCTTCTATGATTTCCACCAGTATCACATTTTTTTTCAAATTAATTCAAAATAGTTTGGCTTGAACTTACTTTCGATTAGTTTCTTTCCTTTCAATCAAGTAGCTTCCTTCTAAAGATACTCCAGCAAACAAACCTCGTGACTTGCAATATGTGTAGACAGCAGCTGTGCTTCGTATTGCAACATTTCCTTCTAAATTCCTAAAAAAGCAGAATATTTTATAGAATATATCTGACTATGACTTTGGCCTATAATTATTAGAATTTGGATATTTTTGGCCAGAATAATCTGATTTTGTAGTCTAAGATTATTTCTATTTATGTATCTTATTTTATGGCAATTCAAGGTAGAGGTTATTTCTTTAAGATAATGTGTCCGGAAGCCATACAAGGAAAAGAGCTAAAGACACAAAGAAATAATGAGATGTAGTGGTAGGAACACAACCCAATTAAACCGAGACAATTTTAGATAGTATCAAGAAAAATATGTCTAAAGTGTATATTTTTAAATATTTCTCAAGTAAACTATATTACAAAAACAGTCCAAATTACATTTCATGGGAGTTGAATCTTTGAAGCTTCTTGTATAGCTTCACTAATAATATATGCCTTCCTCAAACAAATGGCATTTAGGATGTTTTCAAAATCACTGATTTTAGTCATTCCAAATTATTCTACCTCTTTCTTCTCCTCCCTGCCCCAGGCTACATAGTTTAATTTCTAAAGACTACACCTTCCTATTAATGAAAAGAAAACATTCTTTAAATCCTAAGAAAATCCATAACCAAAAAACAAACGACAAAAAACATAGTCAGCCATAGTTTCAATGATCTGGAGAAGGAAATGGCAAACCAACCAGTATCTTTGCCAAGAAAACTCCAAATGGAATCAGGAATTTTTGTTTCATGACTGAAATGACTGAATGACAATAAATCCTCAGAAGTCATCATAGTGCATGGAAGTGCCTATTATGTGTTATGCATTTTCTTTCTGAAGCACACAATGATATGTTATATAGACTTACACCATCAGGCCTTAAAAGAATGTTTTAAAGGTAACTCACCTTCCCAAAGGCCCAACAGCCACAGTAAAATTCCCACCAAGTGTAAGGTTACCACCTTTTGCAAAAGCTTCCACTGCTCTGTCATAATTCAATATTATTACTAAATCTGACACCTAGGAATTAAAAAAAAGTTCATTTGAAAATCATATACCAAATTATAAAATTTTAAAAGTATCATCTGAAATATGTTGACCATATCTTCCTAATGTAGAAAATACTGCATCAGAATGTTTTCTCTTGGCTGAATGAAAGGAATTAATGAGTATTCAATAAATTTTAAAAGCTAGAGGAAGAGAGTAAGAAAAGAATCATCCTTTACAGTCAAATCAAATACCACTTAGTCCACAAATCTTTCTCTGGTATTCTCTCTACTATTCTCCCCCTTCTCCCTCAGTAACATTCTCCTCCTTTTTGATTTACAACTCTTTAATGCACTTATCATCTAATATGTATAACAGTTATGGGCTTTATCTTACCCTCATTCTAGAATGCAAGTACCATAAGGGTAGGAACTTTTGTCTAATGGAATTCTTATGTGCTCCTATTGCCTAATATAGTGTTCCACATATAGAAAATAATTGCTAAATGTTTGTTGAATGGTTGAATCCTATTTTAATGTTGAATTATAGAACCTAGATATTTAACCTAAAATCTTGTTGAAAACATAATAAAATAAGTATTAAGGCAAACATAATTCCCTAGTTTCTCCTAATAGAAAGCTTAAGGAGAAAAGGGAGGAAGAAGAGAGTATGGAAATAGGAATAAACAATAAAACGGGGTAGGAAGAAATGAAAAAAAAAGTTGCATTTACCTTAAATCAAATAGATAGATATTGCAGTCGGGAAAAATAGCTTATATTGGTATAGCACTTTCAGCTTTCTCACACACAGTCTCAGTTTATTATCACAACAACTTTGAGAGGTAAGAGGCATTTTATTACTCTCATTTTAGAGACGAGGAAAACCAAAGAACAGAAAAGTTAAATAAATTACTTGCTCAAGGTAAAACAGCTCTGAAGCTGTTGAGTTATTATGTTTATTAAGCTGTATTATTTTATTAAAGAGACCTCTCACCAAGTGAGAGTAATCAGTGAATGTTTATAATGTAAAAACAAAACATCAATAAAACTTAATAAATATAAAGAGATAGGTAGACAGAAAAACAGAAGACAGATGGATAGATAGATGGCACAGCAGGGCTTCAACCCATGTCTTATCTCAATGTTTTCTCTAGAAAGGTATTCACAAACCCAAGAGATGCTTCCAAAGAAGAAACAACCTGTTTCATATTCTATACAGAAAGCCTAACTTAAAAGAAAAGAGAGAAAAAATAAGCATAACTGGTCAATATATTGAAAAACTCTGAAAATATGAGCAACATATAACACTTGTGGACCTTCACTCTCTTCAAATGGATCAAGTGGATGGGGGTGCAAGCTCATATCTCTTCCTTCAAACTGTTTATTCTCCATAATTTTGCAATATTCACTTTTAATTTTTGTGTGTGGTTGCTTTTTCCTTTCACACTGTTGGAGTGGTATATATTCTATTGGCTCTGAATAGGTTTGTGTGTATCTTTCCATGCATCTCTGTATCCACCATATTTATCATTTCTTAAACCAGTTATATTCCATTATATTCATGTATCACAAACAAGCATTCCCCAGACAAAGGGTATCTACTTTGTTTCCAGTTCTTTGCTATTAAAAAAAATAGCTCTGCTACAAAAAATATTTTGGTATTTGTGGGGACTTTCTTCTTTTCAATGACCTCCCTGGGTTATATTCCTAGTTTTTACCACTCTGATTTTTAAAATTTATTTATTTTTAGTTTTCAACATTCACTTCCATAAGATTTTGAGTTCTAAATTTTCTTCCTCTCCCCAACACAGTGTGCAATCTGATATAGGCTATACATATATGTTCATATTAAACACATTATCACATTAGTCATGTTGTAAAGAAGAATTAAAACCAATAGGAGAAACCACGAGAAAAAAGAAACAACAATAACCCCCCCCAAAAAAAAGGAAAGAGAAAAAGAGAGCAAACAGTATGTTTTGATCTGCATTCAGACCCCACAGTTCTTTTTTTTCTGCATATGGATAGCATTTTCTATCATGAGTCATTTGGAGTTGTCTTAGATCCTCGTATTATTGAGAAGACTTAAGCCCATTAAAGTTGGTCATCGCACAATGTTGCTGTTACTGTGTATGATATTCTCCTGGTTATGCTCACTTCACTTAGCATCAGTTCATGTAAGTCTTTCCAGGTTTTTCTTAAGTCCACCTGCTCATCATTTCTTATGGAACAATAGCATGCCATCACATTCATACACCACAATTTATTTAGCCATTCCCCAATTGATGGACATCCCCTCAATTTCCAATTCTTAGCCACCACAAAAAGAGCTACCATAAACATTTTTGTACATGTGGGTCCTTTTTCAATTTTTATGATCTTTTTGGGATACAGCCCTAGAAGTGTTATTGCTAAGTCAAAGAGTATGAAGTTTTATAGCCCTTTGGGCATAGTTCCAAATTGCTCTCCAGAATGATTGGATCCGTTCACAACTCCATCAGTAATACATTAGTGTTCCAATTTTCCCACACATTCTCCAACAATCTGATAGGTGTGATGTGGTACCTCACAGTTGTTGATTTGCATTTCTCTAAGCAAGTGATTTAGAGCATTTGTTTATATGACTATAGATAGCTTTAATTTCTTCATCTGAAAACTGCCTATTCATATCCTTTGACCATTTATCAATTTGGGAATGACTTATATTCTTATAAATTTGACTCAGCTCTCAATACATTCTATTTTATTTTTATTTATTTATTTTTTGGCAAGGCAATTGGGGTTAAGTGACTTGCCCAGGGTCACATAGCTAATAAGTGTCAAGTATCTGAGGACACATTTGAACTCAGGTCCTCCTGCCTCCAAGGCCAGAGGTCTATCCACTGCACTACCTAGCTGCCCCAGCTCTCTATGTATTTTAGAAATGAGGCTTTTGTCAGAGACAGTGGTTATAAAAATTGTTTCCCAGCTTTCTGCTTCTGTTCTAATCCTGGTTGGATAGGTTTTGTTCGTACAAAAACTTTTCAATTTAATGTAATCAAAATTATCCACTTTGTATTTCATAATGTTCTCTATCTCTTGTTTGGTCATAAATTCTTGTTTTCCATAAACCTGACAGTTAAACTATTCCTTCTCTCCTAGTTTGCTTATAGTATCAACCTTTATATCAAAATCATATATCCATTTTGACTTTATTTTGGTAAGGTGTAAGATTTTGCTCCATGCCTAGTTTCTGCCAAACTTTTTTTTCCAGTTTTCCTGGCAGTTTTTGTCAAATAATGAGTTCTTATCCCAGAAGTTGGAGTCTTTGGGTTTATCAACAGTAGATTACAATAGTCATTGGCTACTGTGCCTTGTGTACCTAACCTATTCCATTGATCCACCACTCTATTTCCTAGCCAATACCAAGTAGTTTTGATGACTGCTGCTTTATGGTACAATTTAAGATCTGGTATGACTAGGCCACCTTCCCTAGCATTTCTTTTCATTCGTTCCCTTGATATTCTGGAAGAACCTTTTGTTCTTCCAGATGAATCTTGTTATTATTTTTTCTAGCTCTATAGAATAATTTTTTGGTAGTTTGATTGGTATGGCATGGAATTAGTAAATTAATTTAGGTAGAATTGTCATTTTTATTATATTAGCTTGGCCTACCCATGAGCAACTGATGTTTTTCCGATTATTTAGATCTGACTTTATTTGTGTGAAAAGTGTTTTGTAATTGTGTTCATGTAGTTCCTGGGTTTGTTTCAGGAGGTAGACTCCTAAATATTTTATGAGGTCTACAGTAAATTTGAATGGAATTTCTTTTTCTATCTCTTGCTGTTGAGTTTGTTAATATATAGAAATTCCGATGCTTTATGTGGGTTTATTTTGTATCCTGCAACTTCACTGAAGTTGTTTATTATTTCACGTAGTTTTTTTACTTGATTCTCAAGGATTCTCTAAGTATAGCATCATATCATCTGCAAAGAGTGATAGCTTTGTTTCTTTTTTGCTATTCTAATTCCTTCAATTTCTTTTTGTTATTGCTAAAACTAACGTTTCTAGTACCATATCGAATAACAGTGGTGATAATGGACACCTTGTTTCATTGGCTCTTGGATTTTGTTGCTATAAAAATGCTATAGATTTTTGAAGGTTTATTTTGTAGCCTGCAAATTTGTTGAAGCTATTATTTATCTCCATTACCATATATTGGTTTCTCAAGATTTTTTAACAATCATATAATCAAAAAATGGGGATAATTTTAAATCTTCTATCTAAGTTTATTCCTTTCTAACTCTTACTGCTAGAATTTTCCTTACTGTCCCAAATAATAGTGGAGAGAGTACTTTAGGAATCTTGTAGGACAATTTCTTTCTCAATTGTTGAAAATAATTTGTCTAGTATTGGTGCTTATTGTTATTTAAAAGTATTATACAATTCACCTGTGAATCCACTAGAACCAAAAGTATCCTTCCTTGCCTTTGGTAGCTCCTTTACAGATCACTCTATTTCCCTTTCTGTGATTGGATTATTTAAAGTCTGTTTGGTTTTCTGTTAATTTGAGATTTTGTATTTTTTAAAGTATATTCCTGTTTTGTTTTTCCAGTTTTGATAGTATATAAGGTATGCTATTATGCATAGTAGGTTCTATAATTATTTTTATTTCATCTAGTTTTGTTGTGATTTCACCTTTTTGTTTGATTTTTTTGATCTTTCATTTTTAATTAGCTAAAAGTTTATCCCTTTTTTAGTCTTTACAAAAAGACAGCTTTTAGTTTTATAATTTCTATTTTTTTTAGTTTCTAGTTTTTCTATTTCTCCTATAATTTTTAATATTTCATATTTGTGTTTATTTGCAGGGGGTTTTGTTTATTTTTTTAAAATTTCATAGTCATTTTAGCAGTCTAGAACCTTAATCACTAAGCCACATCAATAGGTGGACAAACCTAGAATAGAGGTGACACATTACCAAGATACAGATACAAAGCGGTACAGAGATGTTCCAAAAGGAGCGGAGATTGACTAGAACCATAAAAAAAACATATCTTAGTGTAGGATTAAAATCAGTCCAGTTTTATATAAGTGCATAATCAATTAGCTAATCCATTCTTCCTGTTCTCCTGGTCTATCATTCCTGCTCTGGTCTTACTTTCCTGCTTTCACAGTCTTAACTAGTTAAAAAAAGGCATTGTTTGTTACCTTTGAACTGCATTGTTCTTGTTCTCCCGTTATGGATAACCCACAGATTTCCAAAGCCAGGTTGCCCCCATTATTTGCCTTCTCTATTCCTTCTCACAATCTGCTCAACACTGTTGGAGAAAGTCACATAATTGCACCAAATAGGGACAATCCAAATTGATTTTGTATAACTTAACTAGGTCCTCATTGCTTCATGACAATAATTTTATTAAATTTTATAAATTTATTCTCTGTCATATCCTACCATAACAATTACTACAGACCCTCTCCACTTTCCTTAAGCTCCTCAACGCCCCTCCTATACCTAAGATCTTTCTCTTAGCAGATGATGCCCCCTCTTATTTTCCTGAGAAAATTGGTCATCCTCATTAGCTCTTTCAACTTCCCCAATCCACAGGCAAAAAACTCTACATCTTTGCCTCCTTTGCTCCAGTTTTGTAGCAAGAAAGTAGCTTTCTTGCCAATGCTAACCTCTCTTATTTTTTTCCCCTAATCCATCACTTCTGGCCTTCTCTGGAAGATTGGCCCATTTTGATCATTCATGTTCTCTCTTTTCTGCCTCTCCTCTCCTCTTCTTTCTCTCCCAACTTACTGATTCTCCTCTTTATCTATAAAAATGATGTTTTCCTCCATTCAGATTCACAGAGATAGATAATCAGAATAGTCTTCAATAACCACCTAGGCTAGCCCATCCCTTAAAAAAGAAAAACCAACACAAAACAAAATCATTAATTTGATTTTATCATACCCAAAGTTATCAAATTTCATCTCTTCCTTCCACTATGAAAGTTCCTAAAACACAGGTTTGACCATGCTATCCTCCTTCTCAGTATCCTTCAGTGGCTCTGTATTATCTTTAGGATAATATACAAGTTCCTTATCTCAGCAATTAAGACTAGTTCGACTCTGCCTTTCCAAGATTATTTCATACTGACTCTTCTTAAACTATTTATCATCCAAATGGTATTTGTAGTATTTCTTTAACTCACATATCATCTCCCACGTTTGTTCATTTGCTCAGTCTATCTCCAATACCCTGAATGTGCTATTTATTTCAGCCTTTCAGATTCCTTAAGCAACTCCAATTATATACAATGACAACTTACCAGACCACCATAAGCGAGGTGTGTTTGTGAGGGGTCCTGGAAATTGCTAAGACTAGGCTATCTTCTCAATGATAAAGCCCAGGGATTTGGGCCTGAACCAGATTAGGAAGGCCCACTCTGGCCCATTCCTGTCAGTGCAGTCAGAAAACCTGAATTATTTTAGACAATGCCCACTCCCCATGATCCTTGGAGAGAAGTGTTAAATCTGAAGATTCTTCTATAGTTAAAGAAACGATTTTATCTTCTCAGGGCTACCCTCAGTTTTGCAAATAGTGACCCCAAAACCCAGAAGACCCTATAACAACTTCAGTATAGTTTAAATCCTAAAGTAGAACATAAATTTGGAATCACCTGGGGTATCAGACATGAGAAATTCTACATACTTATAAGAATCCTTACTACTTTTGGGAGATGTTAGATATAATGGGGGGGGGAGAGAGAGAGAGAGAGAGAGAGAGAGAGAGAGAGAGAGAGAGAGAGAGAGAAAGGACTTGGTGTTTATTTGATCTAGCTTCTTATCTCTGCTCTCCCAGGAAGCAGTTGTGTAAAACTTTGTGCAAGAAACTTGAGTTGAGCCTCAGTATTCTTGTCTATAAAATAAGAGGGTTGGGCTAGGTGCTATCTAAAGTCCTTTCCAGCTCTAACTTTCTCTGATTATATATTTTAATATCTACTTATCAAGAATGGCACAAGGCCCATTACCCTCCCTGCCCAGTACTCCTCTCTCTCTCTCTCTCTCTCTCTCTCTCTCTCTCTCTCTCACACACACACACACACACACACACACACACACACAAGTAACACCACTCAAGGATACTGCTAACAAGATTGAAATTATCTTGAGTCCAGTTCACTAGTGCTTGTCTATTAAAGACATCATATTTAGCTCTCTGTAAGTGGCCTTCTTAAATACTCTTGAATGTTCCCTTTCCATGACCTAAGGTAGCACAAAGACTCTGGAGGAGAGAGCAAATCAGTGGGAGGATAGTTCTATTCAATACATAAGCTCTTCAAACCCTTTGGAACCTGCCTGCTATATCTGGGTTGCAATTTATAGCTCAAAAAAATATTACATTCCTGCTAAAATACTAAAAAATCCCTCTTCCACAGTTTGAAAAGTTACCATATCACTTAATTTCATAAATTAGACTTTCATCCACAATAAACAGCAAGTTCTGCCTGGTATTGTCAATTAATTCTAGTAACAGAGTAGCAGAGTGGGTATAATTTGGTTAATTAAAAAAACATTTATTAAATACCTACTCTATTCAAGGCTCAATGCCAGGTGACAAACAAACATAACCAGAAAAAAAAAAACATGGTTCCTGACCTAAAAGATCTTAATCTAATGGACTATACATTTAGAAATAAAATATCTAGCATTCACAGTTCCTAGTGTGACACCTACGCAGATGCTCATAAAATGTTTGGTAATGACGATGATGTTCTATTTAAATCACTTGGTTGAATAAAATTCTTCTAGGGTTTATTCCTAATCTAATATAAAGATTAAATTTTATGAAGTTACTATTAAAATATGACAAAGATAAGATATAGCTAATCATTTGTATTACATAATTAATCACTAGTACAGTGCCTAGCATATAGCAGATACTTAACATATGATCACTGATTGATCAATTGTTGAATTATGACATTAAATAAGGCTCAAATTTTCATCCACACATTGACGTGGGGGAGTGCATTTTGGGAATAGTAGTTGGGTGGCTTGTATGAATGCAGGAAGGAAACATAGCATGCTGAAATTAGATAGATGGTCTAATTTGTTTATAATATAAAGGTAGTAAAGGAGAGTGATATGAAATAACGTTAGAAAGGTATGCTGGAATCAGATTGTGGGCCATGAAAATTTCTGAGCAAGGAAATGACATTACGATATGAAGTCCTGGTACATGATGACATACCAGTATAAAAACAATAACAAAACCATATGAAAATCTAAGGATAGATGCTAAGAGACTATCTGCTGAAAAGAAACTGACCACAGGAGGGCAATATTTTCAGCAAACTTTAGCTTAGAAAGAAGTATACAAAAAAGTTCATTTTAGACAAGAGAAGGCAAAAGATGTCTTTAGTGAGCTTCTTTAACTTCTGGTTTTTGCAGTGACAGTGAGTGAAAGGAATCCCAGTAAGAAAGATGAAAGTTAGTGAAACTACTTCCTTTAACAAGGCTGAGAGAATTTAAAACTATAGCAACAGAGAAACCTTACAAACGGATAGCTTAGGAAGAAATTGACTGAAACTTGAGAAGAAAATACAGATTTGTAATTTGAAAATGGTAAGTATTAGGAGCCTAGGCTGACCAGTCACTTAGATAGCAAGAGAGGAACAGATGACAGATTAATATCATGCATAAGATGTATTATGTGTAGATCCTGATGTAATTGATCCTAGTGAACAAGAACATTTTAGAGAAAATAATTCCCAGTCCAGATGTTCAGGCCAACAATCCCATCAGAGGCATAGCTATGGAATGGAAACACTTTGAGGTCAACCTTCATTTATTAAAAGAGGACATAAATCTTGACCTACCTCTGTATCAGGCATTATAACTCCACATGCTAAGAAGCACTGTTCATCATATTTTAAGATTCTATTCTGCATAGTGATACCTTTGGCTGGAATTATAAAGCTTAACAAATGGAACCAACTAATAAATAAAGTGTTGATGTTTTCTGGTAAACAAACCATCCACATTCTCTTGTCTGTGACATGGAAGCTCAAGAGCCCACAGATAATGAAAATAATTCACATTTTTAGAATATTTCATAGCCTACAAAGTGCTTTCCTCATAACAACCTTTTGAGGTAGGTATCACAAATACTATTTTCCCCATTTTAATCATAAGGAAACAGATAGACTACGTTCCCTGTGATCACATGTATTAAGGAAAAGCCCTGTAGCTCAAACCTGGATGTTCAGAGAAGGTAGTACTCAACCTATCATACTACAGAAAAAATGCAACAAATATAGGTTACTAAGTATAGTTTGTAAGAGGCTGAAATGATCATTTAGAACCAGATTAGAATTTAGAATTGTGGGGGGAGGAAGGGGCGGTGTGAGAAACCTTAGATTGCACAGTTGAACTGCTACCCCCTACATTTTACAAATGAGGAAACTGAAACTGTTAAGAGGTTAACTCTCAATGTCACACAAATATTATGAAGCAGATATGGGATTGAAACACAGGTCTTCTGACCCCAAATCTCATGCTCTTCCCAAAAATAGCATCTGCTGTAAAACTATGGGAATCAGTAGAATAACATTCAATATTTTTTGTCTATCAAAAAAAAATGTATCTCATTGATGGCAGTTTAAGGGAAGAAACGAAAAAGGCTCAAGCAAAAAAAAAATAGAAGTGATACCCTAACAATGCAAATATTTCTGAAAGTCTTCACAGATGTCAGTGGTAAGAAAACAATGAGAGTTTTCTAATACTGGACAGTTAAATTTCAGGTACTTTTCAAGGATATGGCAAATATAAAATAAAGCCTTAATACACAAACCTCAATCCCAATTTCAAATCCACCACCAAGTCCAGCTATTCCAATGGCAGAAGGTGCAGACCACTCTTAAAAAGAGAAGAGAAAAGGAAAAAAAATTAGAGCTGTATTTCCAGCTTAAAACAATCAAGAACCATAATCTTCAGTGGTATCCATTTCCCATTAATTCATTTGCAGAACTTAGGAAGAAATAGAAACATGAGTAGAAAATACAGATTTGACATTTGAAAACAGTGATGATAAGAAGACTGCAATCAAATAAGAAATACAAATGAATACGGTACATCAAGTCTCTCTGTGGATCCTGGTCCAAACCAGTTGGGGAGGCTTCAAAAGTACTAGCAATTACATTAGCTCACTTATGTTCAGTACTTAACAATTTATAACATATATTCCATACCACATTCCTATGAGGTTGTACATGTCTTATGAGGACAAGTATTACTCCCATTTTACAGATGAAAAAATTGAGGCTCATTGAGGTAAAATGACTCAGCCCTAGGTCACAAGCCCAGTAATTATCAGAGTCAGGGTTCAAACCCAGAGACTTTAACTCCAGATCTGGCTCTTCTAACTACACTGTGCTGCCTCCAAAAGTATGCCTTTAGTCAGGACTTTTGTATAATAGAAATATGAAAATGTCAGATTTTAGTCTTAAGAAAGCAAAATATGTTCATAGATTTTATTCTTGGTATAAGGTGTAACATAGAACAACTTGTAGAAAGGTGTATACATATTTTCTGAGGATGTAAATGCTCAAGGAGTTTTAAGGTGTATTACAAGGAGTATCCTTCTTGTGAAAAGTTAAACATAATCATTTTGTTAACCCAGAGAATTTCATATTTGAGGATTCATGTTTTGGCATTTTTCTGACTTACAAACACATGAGGAGGCTGGGTGGCACAGCAGAAAGAGTGTAGGCTTGGGAGTCAGATCTAATTTTGAAGTACATCTGATTACCTGAGTTTGTAGGCAAGTAACATAACCTACTCTGGACTCAGTTTCCTCATCTGTACAATGTTGGAGTTAGACTAAATGACATCTAACACTTCCATCAACAATATAGCACCCTATGGTACTAAGAAACACAAGTGATTTTTCTTTTAACAAAGACAATACTTTCTGGAATGGTTAACAATTCTTTAAACTACCTCTTTTCCCTTGGTATGCCACACTCTATAGAGTAAGGCAATGTTCACAAACTTTCAGAACTGACAGATTTTTGTTGTATTTTGTAGTAAGAAAAAAAATGCCTGCCATTAAAATAGTTTATTTCTTTTTTTTTCCTTTTGTGTTAGCAACTGGTTCTGTGCAGGGACCTGCCCTGTCCTGCAGATGTACCATTAGGACACAAATGAAACTATCCAGCCATAATCCTCATGACCCAATTGTATCTCATTTTGGGCTATTTTCAAACAACCCTCTTGTGACTCTAGGGGACAACTGGGCTGCTGCTTAGATTGGGATGAAGGGAGGGGTTTTAGGTTTACAAAACCAGGAGACAGGTCCCTCCTGGGATTCTCAGAGAAACTCCAGAGTTCTTACTACTCTTTAACCTTCCAACTGCAACCAGCCTGACAATTGAGGGTCAAGCCAGAGTGGGGCAGAAGGCCTTGGGAACGGATAACTCATATTCAGAGAAATGCTCTGAGTCTTATTTCCCTGAATACTTTTTTTTAAGCCAATCTCTATTTAGGTTGGTTTCATTTCTGAGTTATCTACTGAAGAGGTTCTGGGAGAGAAATGTGTGTCTTTTTCTGGAACAGTATAATTCAGAGACACTCAGGTTGTCCCAGTCCTTAATGGGTTGATTTTTTTCATCCATTGTGAATATAACCTGGCTTTAAAGCACCAAAGAGCCAAACAAAGAGGCTATTGCTGCTTTAAATGCCCCCTCAGCTTCCTCTTCTTCCTTTCCATTTCCAGTGTCTTGGATATCATGGTTCTGTGGGCTTTGAGGTAATAAAGTTTTCAATCATATGGATGAGGATAGTTGATGGAAATCAACTTCATAAGGCTCAAAGAACATGCCAGTCAGTAGGTACTAAAACTGATTCTATTTTATGGGCAATTAAAAAAAAAGTGACCCAGTGCTACTTAGGTGATTATGGATTGATAGAAAGAATGACTACTTAACACTGTGTGACTACATGGAGGGAAGATTTGGCACAAGTTTGGAAGAAGAATGACTTTCTGGCTTATTCTTTTGAAAGAGGACACACACACACACATCCAGATCCCCTTCAGGTCAAGACCAAATGAGAAATAGAACAGACTTTAGAAGATAGGACGTGAAAAGGAACCAGTGCCTCAATATTTCCCTGATTTCTAGCTTGCTTCTCTGGAAACTTTAGAGAATTCCCCTTCGGTGAGATCAGAAATTTTCTCTAAGGTGAGCTGATGCTATAAAGTTTCCTACTGAGAATGACATATAATAATTTGTTCAGCCATTCCCCAGTTGACTTCAAACTAAGGAATTATACTTTGTCACTCAAAAAATGTATATAATAATTGTATATAATTAATATATAATTTGTACATATATACAAATATAATATATACATAATATAATTGTATATAAAAACTTATAATTTTTTATATAAACATTTTTATACATATGGGTGTTTTTCCTCTTCTTTTGATTTCTTAGGGGTACAGGTGTAGTAGTGATATTGCTGGGTGAGAGGGTATGTACTATTTATTGATTTTGGCAGCAAAGTTCCAAATCACTTTTCAGAATTGCTGTAAGAATCCATAACTCTAACAATAAGCCATTAATATGCCTGTTATCTCTTAGTTCCTCCAACATTTTTTATTTTCATTTTTTTTCATCTTTTCTAATCTTATGGGTATTCAGTAGAAGTTCAGGGTTTCTGTAATTGACATTCTCTATTTATTAATGATTTGGTGCATATTTTTATAACTTGTTGATAGGGGAGAAGAAGAGGAAAATAAGAGGAAAAGGAAAAGATGAAGAGGAGGAGAAAAAAGAGGAAGGGAGGTAATGATAATAGCTCCCAATTACCACAACCTTGAGAGATATAATGCAGGTGTCATCCCACTTTCAGTGTCATTTCATCATCCCTCATAAAAATCACCATATGTGCTCTTTTTAGCTTCTGGCCAAGATGGCTACTTGAAATGAAGGCAGCATCCATGTACTTACATCAGCAAAATTCTGAAATTTGCAGCAGACTGACTAATGACCAAGAAAATCAATGACAACTATAGTGACTTCTTGACTGCCAGTACCAGATATCATCTAGAAGCCCAAGCACAACAGAAAAGGCTTCAAGCAAATCCAGGTGCAGAACAAGGTAGCCCCCAGCATTACCACAGATGTGCCAGGAACACAATTTGCTCCAGAGGAAGCAAGAGTAGAGGATTACTTAAGCAAAATCCCAGGGTATTCAGAAAGCCTCTGGACGACCAGAAAGCCCCCACCGTGTGGATCTTTGGAAGCTCATGGGAGTAGTCAGCTATTAGTGCAGTGCAGTGCATCAGCGCAGACTAAGACACCCAAAGCCTAGGGACTCTGAGGTGCCAGAGAAGTCCCTGAGGATTCAGCACACTAAATCCCAAAGGTCTTGAGGGACCTAACCCTGATATGTGGTCAGCATAGGAACCAAGGTAACCCAGAGGGAATCCAAAAGTACATCGTTGAGAAAAGCCTACACTCAGGAACAATAAGCAGTATAAAAAGTTGTAGACCTAGAGATCCCCCCAAAGAAAGAAAGGGTTAACTCCTTTAAAAACTGCAATGAATACTCAAAGAAAAAAATGGATTTTCCATGAGGACTACATGAATACACACACACACACACACACACACACACACACACACATATATATATATATATATATATATATACACACACACACACACACACACACACACATACATAAATGAACAAGAGATTTTAAATATGAAATAAAGGCTCTGAAGAAAAGAATGGAAGTATAATCAACAGATGAGAAAACAAAGTGGTAAATCTTAAAATAGAAATGGACTCCCTAAAAGCAAGAATAGATCAAACAGAAATTAGTGAGTTCATGAGACAGCAGGAAATATTAGAAGAGAATCAAAAAATTTTTGTAAAAAAGAAAATATATCTAACATGAAAAACAAGTGACCTAAAAAATAGTTAAAGAAGAGAAAAATCTAAGAATCATTGGGTGCTTTGAAAACTTGTTTGAAGAAAAAATCCTGAAAAGTGCACCTTAAGAAATCGTAAATGAAAACCACTTATGGCACGTGAAGGTATAAAAATGAAATTCCATTTATCATTTACTGAAAAGGAACTCCAAAAGAAAAAGTTCTAGGAGTATCACAACCAAAATCTAAAACTACCATGCAATGAATGCATCCAGAAAGAAGCAATGTAAGCACAGAGGAACCAAGTTAGGATCAGTGAAGACATGAGAGCTTCTACCATAAATGAGAGCTTGGAATACAATATTGCAAAAAAGCAAATGATGGGCTTAAAACCAATAAAAGCTTCATCTTCCAAGTGAGTATAATTCTACATGAAGAAAAAAAAATAGACTTTTATTGGGATAGAGGACTTACAAGCATTTCTGATGAAAAGACCAGAGCTGAATACAAACTTTGAAATACGAACATAAACCAAATGAAACCTAGGAAAATAAGCATATTTGAGCAATTGGAAAGACCTCTGTGACAATGTAGTGCTAATATTCTAATAGGGGAAGAAAAAGCAAGTGTTCCTTCAGAACTTTAGTGTCCTCAAGTATACTGAATGAGTTAAATAAGTGAAACAGAGATCCTATATGTGGATTGGTTCTGTTCTGAAGTTTTTGAGAAAGAAAAGAGAAGCAAAGGTAAAAGCAACAGATTGTATAGAAAGGAGGTGGAATTTGCTATTTCTTTTCATTGGGGTACATGAGACAAAGAGTATACATAGAGGAAGGGTAGGGGAAGTAGGCAACAGATAAATCTCATTCTTATCTGAAATGAAAAAAGGGGGGGAAGGTTGAAGACAGAGTTTTGTGTCAACCTACATAAAATTCAACAGGTAAAAAAAATAGAGATGGAACAGTTAACAAGGAGAATAACACTGGGGAGGGAATGGTCACTTCCCCAGTCGGGGGAGGATAGCAAAGGTAGGATTAAAAGAGAGAGAAAAAGAGAATGGCGAGGAACTAGAATCTAAGAGGATGCCTCAAATTTCCTCTTAGGGAATGGCTGAAGAAACTGTCATATGTGAATGTAACAGACTATTATTTTTGAAATAAAAAATTATGAAAGAGATAATTTCAGAGAATTCTGGGTGTTATAAACTGATGAAGAGCAAAGTGAACAGAACCAGGAGAACAATTTAAACTAATATATCAACACTAAAGACAAAAATATTGAAAGACTTAAGAACTTTGATAAATGCAGTGGTCAACCATGTCTCCAGGAGACATGTAATGGAGACGTGAAAATACATGTTACCTACCTCCTAAAATAGAGATGATAGACACAAAGTACATATAGAGACATACTTTTTTTTAACATGGAAAACAAAAACAAAAATAACTTAGATTTCTTACATAACTCAGTCAGTACTTTGCTAAACTTATGTACCAAATGCTAAAAAGAGGTACAGTAAAATTGTCGACTCTCCAAAAAAAAAATTTCTCTATTACTAACAAAGAAATAGAGTATTTAAGCCTGAACTCAAAGACAAGATTAGACTCTATACCCCTGTCGCTTCTTACTGGGGGGTACCTGACGATTATCAAATTCAAGTTGGGTGATGTTGGAAAGCTCTAAAAAGAAAGGGACAGTATATAAGTATGTTTCCTCTAAAAGTGCTAGAGTCTGTAAGTGTATGACAGAGCTCAGCTGTTTCATCCCTACCCCAAGCCTTATTCCTTAACCCAAGGATTATTCCCTTTGGGGAATAGTAAAGACTATTTTGACAGCTTATGCCCTTTTCTTCTTTCCTTTTCTCGCAAGGAATGTTTCAGGGCCAGGTGCCAAATATTGAAGGCCTTGGGAAGTCCAGGAGGCAAAAGAGTGTAGCTAAAAGAATGCCGGATTTAGAGTTAAATGATATCTGTTAATATCCCTGCTTGGCTATTACTACCTATATGACTTCAGACAAGTCATTACCCTCACTAGGCTTTACTTTCCTCATTTGTAAAATGACCAACTCTACAGTCCTTTCCTCAACCTGTGCTCTTTCCCAATATGTGCAGTTTTCTATGTTCAACTGATGTTTCATCTTATATTCATATCTGTAAAAACGGCTAACTCTACCATTAATCATCAACATCAAGAAAAAAAATTACATGAGAGGAAATATTAATGGAAGAAATATTTATTAAGAGCAACACACCCATAGCATTTGTTTCTAGAGATTTATGCAAAACACAAACATTAAGGCTTTTTCCACGTAAAAATACAATTGTAGCCTTTCACTTAAGCAGTGACACAGTTCAGCCTGAGTAGAAAGAAACCAAAATATCATAGTGTTACATTCTTCAATAGAAATGGCAAAAAAGGCTACAGATGGCTCCTTATTTTCAACTCTACTTTTAGAAAAGAATTATTAGTTTTACTGTGATACTAAGAATGTGCATTTGACATAAGAAATCCAAAGACCAAATTTTATGCTTAAATATTTTCACAGTTGGAAGAATTACAAAATTTAAGTGAAATTTAAAGTAAGATCCAGTCATTGGATCCCTAAGAACGTTAAGAGGCAGGAAACATCGTTCTCTTCTTGGTAGGTTTATTCATACACGAAACTGAGCTGCACTGAATAATCCAATTGGAGGTTATATAAGGAAACCTGTCATACTCCTATGAAATCTGCCCAAGATGGAAATAGAAAAGGGAAGAGCATGCTTTAATTTCTCTAAGTAGACAAATATCAACTTACTTCCATCTGGAAGGCGAGCCAATACAATCCCACTGCCTCCTCGAGCAGTGACCAGAAATCCAGCTTTTATCACTGATAGGATGGCAAGACCTTTAGCCTTGGCAATTACATGGGCTGCAAACATTTAAAGGGTAAGCAGGTAAGTCATTATCAATACATATTCTTCAATAAACAAGCATACAATCTAAAATTATAAATGGGGTTGTGAACCCCAGCACACACATATTTAGACATTTGAATGACTAGCTTTTGGGGGTCCTAATTAAGAATCTTAATGAAGTATATAAGTCATGAATTAAAGCTCAAATTTATAAAAACAGATGGTCATGAAGACTCTGTAGTCCTACCTCTTTTTCTCTGGTTATTTTTATGTAGCTAAATTTAACATCATAAATGTTTTAGAATCCTGTAATTACCATGCAGAGTTAGATATTTTGGCTCAGAGTAGGGTTTGATTGCTTCAGTCTATAGGCAGTAGAATAAACTTTTTAAGGATTTCAATTAATTCAGAAATTAACTCCAAACAGAAAATTCAAACTATTTCCAAAAAAAAAAAGATTCTCAAAGTATTAATGGAATTTTTCCATGAATCTCAAGGAACAAGGAAGCTGGCTCAGAAAGACTGAATTAAGGGCAAAACTAGGCTCAGTTTTGGATTTAGAGACCCTTTAAGCTAGTCAAACTACAAACATTTGGAAACATTATGTAAATTAAATTTGGGGATATTACTTTACATAAGGATTTTTAAATTTTATGAAAATTAGGAAAAAATTTAGAAAGACAGATTTTTTTCTTTATAAAAGGGTTATGAAAAGTTTACAACATGATTCCTGTAAGTAATTAGCATTTACACTAGGTGGCCAGTCCCATTAAATAGCAAGCAGTATCTTACTTAAACTTTGTGATCCCTACAGTACATTGCTCTGATGAAGTAGGTAGTTAATAAATGCTTCTTGAATGAATATGTAATTAAATTTCATGAAAAAAGTTGACTCACATGTCTTTCTTAATGTATTACATAGGTACACCCATGTAACTACAGCATAACATGTCTTTCTTAATATATTACAGTCAGATACATGATGTACAATACAGCATAACATATATGTTCTACAGCTTAGGGGTGAGATAAAGCATTAATTTCCTAAACAATAAGCTCAGAGTATATTTCCATTCTATGAATCCTCCATATGCTTCCAGTCAAATCAAGTTCACCAGGTATTTAGATACATGGGATCCATGGTTTGAATAGCATAACATAGGTGTTACCTTTGTTACTAAACAGCAGTGCTATAAGGAGCTATATTATATCTCCATGTAAAGACAGAGAGAGAAGGAAGGAAGGAGAGAGGGAGATGAGAGAGAAAGGAAAAAAGAAATGAAAAGAGAAGAGAGGAGGGGAAAGGAGTGGAGAGAAGATAAGAGGAGGAGAGAAGAAAAGAGAGAAGAGGGAAGAGGAAAAGAGAAGATGGGGGGAGAGAAGAGGAGAGGAACTCCATAGACCCTTCTGGGTTACTTCAAAAGCCAACCAGTATTTCCAAATCACCAAACAAGGAGACTTTCTAGCTTCATAACTCCCAAATTACTAGTGACTACTTCAGTAAAGATTATTAAGCTGCCTTCCTCATCTATACATAGACTTTATTAATCTAACAGACTAGGTACAAAAATTAAATAACCTATCACATAAAATCACAAAGCTAAAAGGAACTTGCAAAGGAAAATTCATTTTCTAAAGAAATTTTAGGAAAGCTTTATTTACTAACGAGGAATGATCTTATCAGGTCCATTTCCAGAAGTTATTTCTGTGAATTCTCTCAATATTTTGGCAGCTTTTTTTGCTTCTGATTTCAAGTTGGATGGTATAGGGTTATTCACTGAAAGGCAAAAATACATTTTAATTTATAAAAGGAAATGAACAAAATCAGTAGAAGACTTAATAGAAAGTTATGTTTTTCTCTTATATAAACTAAGATTTTGCACCATTTTCCAGAATGGTGAGCAAAAGTATAAGTTTTTCTAGTAATTCACTGCTTCATCTCCCTGTTTTACCTTCAATTAGTTGATGCCACTGAGACACAGATACTGGGAAGCTTTGAGTATGAACTCAAGAGACCTATTCATTGACTTATCAAAGCATTGGATTATTATTACAAAATTATTAAACAAAAATCAAAATTCATAATTTGTTTATAGGACTCCAAAACTAGTGTTATATTTAATAATCTTAGTTAAAACTCACTGACATATATATACAGTCTTAAATTATATAAATAATATAGGTAGGTACATAAATCAAATAGTTCCTGTATTCTGAAATAAATAGCATCACAGAGCTAAAAGGGACTATAAAGGCTATCTTATACAATCTTCTCATTTTACCCTCATATTTCCATGGACCTATGATTTCACCAACAAGAATATTCTTTATGATGATTTAGATCACAAACTGATAACTCTCACCTTGGGCAACCCTTGTCATTGTCCTCCTATAAATTCTTTTTGTAAATTGCCTTTGTATTGTGAAGTTAATCATAATGATACAAACATTTCAATATACAATGACAAGAAAGAGGGTGATAGAACTTTGAATAACTGTTATGTACAAATATATATATATATATATATATATATATATATATATATATATATATATATAATAGAACAGGATACAGCTAAATTCTTCTTAGTATGAGTAATGAATCCCTTGAAGAGGATATATTATTCAAACTTGTACCACATATTTCTACTGGTCTGAAAACAATGATATTTATATAATTTATATAATTATAACCTCGAACAATGCTAACGCTTTGCAAACACTTTGGGGATTCATTATTTTTAATAATTGAGAATAAGATGTAGTAGGAAATTTGTTCTAATTGTGTTCCCTTTTGTACACTTAAATTTTTTTCTTCTGTGATCAAATATTTTGTTTTTTCCCCTTATATATCAATCTTAACTAACTAACCTATCGGCCTCATTTCAAAGTAAAAAGCCTTCCTCACAACAAATATGTATAGTCAAGCAAAAGAAATCAATACATTGATCATATATAAGATTTCAGCCTATACCAGAAGACTCCATTATCTCTCTAACAGGAAGTGAAATAGATTATTTCATTATCAAACTTAGGAAGTCATGATTTAATAGAACACTCTGTACCAAAATGACTTTAATAATTGGAGAAATCATAATTGTTCGTGGTTAGATCATGCCATTGTAATGCAAATGATTATACTACCTAAATTAATTTATTGATTTGATGTGTGACAATCAAACTACTAAGAGATGCTTTATAGAACTTGGAAAAAAATGATAAAATTTAACTACAACAAGAAGAGGTAAAAAATCTCAAGGGAAATAATGGGGAAAAGGATGACTTAGGGAAGTCTAGCCATATCAGATCTCAAAGTATACTACAAAGCAATTAACATAATTTAGTACCAGTTTAAAAATAGAATGGAACAGACTACATAAACAAAATCAAGAAATTATCAAATGTAGTAGCATTCAGTATACCAGAGGACAGCAGGAAAGCTGTAAAGCAGTCTGGCAGAAATCAGGTTTAGAACAACAATCAATACCATACACCACAATGAACTTCAAAGAATATATGGCCTAAATATAAAAGGTCATATCCTCTTAATAAATAGAGAAGGTACTTTTCACAATTATGGTGAGGGGTAAAACTTTAATTAAATAAAATTGAAAATCTTCTGCTCAAGTAAAATAAATTCAGTTAGAAGTAGGAGGTTAAAAAATTGGGAATATATTTAAAGAAAATGTTTCTGAACAATGTCTGATAACATGAGCTACATAAAGAATTAATACATATATAAAAAGAGGAGCCAGGAGCCATTCTTCATAGATAAGAGGTCAAAGGATATGGCTAGTTTGTTCTCAAGTGAGGAAACACAAACTTCCATAAATGTGTCATTGGAAGCCTTGCTACTGTAAGGATACCAATGGCATATGTGTGCTTTGTATAGGTTATCCTTTACTCTCACTACTTGGTGGCACACTTTCTTTTCTGGTTAAACATCTAATCAGATCCAATTCAATAAGCACTTGTTAACCATTCACTATGAGTATAAGCAAAGTACTACTGTGCTTTATCTCTCTAGAGACACCCTTTATGCTGCTTCCGGATATTCTCTAACTGGTAATATGTTGCAGCTTACTCGTGTTCCTTCTTATGCTAACCTATTGCCCTTTGGGTAGACTTCAACTAATTCTTGGGAGACTGGTATTCCAAGACTCATAGCCATTACATACAATAGCACCAAAATAACATTGATGTTAAAAAAAAAGTTTGCTTCTGGGAGAAGCTTGGGATCCCCAAAAGCACTGGGTAATTTTCCAAAAAGCTTCCTCCAAAAGCTTACTCTCTTCTTGCTCAATTCTAAACACAATTTGTCATCTATTCCCAGAATGAATGCAATTTATATGTACTGATAGACACAACTCTATGGTTATCTATGAAACTACATATGATAGTCGGGGCAATTAAATTCATTTCAGAAATGTTAAATGACTTGCTCTAAGTCACACAGTTAGTTAAAAGTAGAGCTGGATCTTGAACCCAGGTCTCAACTTTCTGCCAAGTGTACTTCCCACTGTCTATAAGGAAATGTTAAATCTAAAAGGGAAAGTATGGAATGGTACTTTATGTATTTAAAAGTATAGGGCCAGCTAGATGGCTCAGTGGATAGAGTGTTGGGCCTGCAGTCAGAAAGACCTGGGTTCAAATCTAGCCTCAGACACTTAGTCGTTGTGTGATCTTTAGCAAGTCACTTACCCTATTTGTCTTAATCCACTGGAGAAGGAAATGGCAAACTACTCCAGTATCTTTGCCAAGAAAACTCTATAGACAGTCACAAAAAGTCAGACCTGACTGAACAACAATGTTTTGAAGTGCTTTTAAATACATATTTTATTTGGTAAAGTGGGGATAATATTATTCACCTAGAGCAGTCAAATAACATTCCCAACAAAACTACTCTTGAGTTCTTGTCTGATAGTGTATCCACTGCACACGAAAACATATTTAAGATAAATGTGTGAAACATACTAGGGTGCAATCACCCCTACATACTGAGGACATTTGATGCTAAGAAAATCTTTTCATCTAAGTCAAATTATATAACTGATTGACTCACAGATAAAGGGGTGCTAACTGAAATAATTCAAGCCTAAATGTGGTCACAACTGGGTAGAAATTTGCAATATCCTATTGGCAAAGTTCAGGAATATATGTGTGTGTGTGTGTGTGTGTACATATGTTAATATATAACACATATGCTTTTGACAATGGTGACATTTTTATTATTATTTTAAATATAAATCTAAAAATGTTTAATGGTTACAATGAATTTTACTTATGTCATCTAGGCAGTGTGGTACAATGGAAATAATATAAATAATATTGACTATAGAGTCTCAAAACCTTGGTTCAAATGTCCCCCCCAATATTACTATGTGGCCATGGGCAAGCAACTTATCTTCCCTGTGTAATCAACAGGTTATGCTAGACAGCATCTAAGGCTTGTTTCAACTCTAATTTATCCTCTTATAGCTCCATGATCCTCAAAAATGGCCTTTTGGAGATGGTTAATGCAAACATATTCACTTTGTAGACGAGGAAATTGCAGCCTGAAAAAATGAAGGAATTTGACCATGGTCACACATGTACCAAATGGCAGAAGCATGTAGGGTTTGAAACCAGTGCTCTTTCCACTTACTGTGCTACATATGCAACCATGAGGTATATAATTTAGGGTCATTACCATAATATTTCAAGGCCTGAAGTAATTTTTTTCTGTTTTGTTTTAGAGAAATTATGCTGCTTTTGTGTCATAAGGAATATTGCTGTTAGCAGCAGGAAAAGTTGCACAAAACCACTTCCATTTACTTCCTTCCAATGTCAAATATACTTACAGAATATGAGTGATATATTCCTGGGAACAAGCTGAGGTAGATGGGTAAAGTGGGAGAGGAAGGACAAGTAGAAAAAAGACATGTGTTAGTCAGATTTAATAAAATCAATTGCTCAAGAAGCTTTAGGGAAGAAAAGTGGTGAAGAAATGCACAGGGTAGAAAATAAATTTGTTTTAAGAACATTTTAAGCCCACTCATCTTTGCCCCTGTGTTATTTGAATCACCCCCTGAAGTTGTCTTCCAAGTGCCATTTTAAGTCATTAGGACTTTAAAAATTCTTTTCCTGGTTATATCTCCTTACTGCAAGCTAAGAGATCCACATTCCACTTTTCTTAGCAGAAATTGACCTGTGCCCTTAAAATTGCTGTTGTTTAATCAATTAGTTGTGTTCAACTCTTCATGAATCAGTTTGGGGTTTTCTTGGAAAAAACACTGGAGAGGTTTGCCATTTTTCTCTTGAGGACCTTAAAATGCTATCAATTGATTTTTTTGCTAATGAAATGATATTTTAAATCCTCTAGCAGATCTTGTGAAATTTTTTAAATAACTGACTAAATTCCAAATATTCTTCAAAATAAATAGCTTGTCCATTTCACTATTCTATAAATCCTAATTTTATAAAAAAGAATTCCCTTAAAGTAAGGTACAACTATATTAAAACTTCACTTTTCCATATGTATCTCCTAATTAATGCTTAAATCCATTTCTCAGGACTTCATCAAATTAGATTTCTCATAGCCTTTTTATGTCTAAGTTAACTAGGAAGCCCTAATGATGCCAAATACCTGAAACCTTAAAATCTTTTGAGAACTATATACCCTCTTTTAGAATGGGGAAACTGGGGCAGAAATTATCTGAAGTCAACCGAGGGTAGATAAATACTGATACACAAACAGAATCTAAAATTTCTCCTTTAAAAAAAAGTGCTAATTTATTC